CTCCTACGCTGAGATAATGAGCGTTGAAAAACTCGGTATTTTCGCCGAAAACCGACTCGAGATCATGCAGTGTTTACTGCCTTTGTATGGAAGACCATTACCGCCAAAACCTACCTATTTTAATCGCGCTTAAAATGTATTTTAATCACGCTTAAAATGTATTTTAAGCGCGATTAAATTCCAGCCAATCAGAACAGTGGTTTTTAATCACGCTTAAAATGTATTTTAAGCGCGATTAAATTCCAGCCAATCAGAACAGTGGTTTTTAATCACGCTTAAAATGTATTTTAAGCGTGATTAAAGTGTGTGTGTGTGTGTGTGTGTGTGTGCGTGCGTGCGATAGTGTGCACACGTGTGTGCGTGTGTGAGTTGTGTGAATGTGCGTACATGCGTTCATGTGCGTACCTGTGTGCGGGCGTGTGTGTATGGAAGGCCATTACCGCCAAAACCTACCTATTTTAATCGCGCTTAAAATGTATTTTAATCACGCTTAAAATGTATTTTAAGCGCGATTAAATTCCAGCCAATCAGAACAGTGGTTTTTAATCACGCTTAAAATGTATTTTAAGCGCGATTAAATTCCAGCCAATCAGAACAGTGGTTTTTAATCACGCTTAAAATGTATTTTAAGCGTGATTAAATTCCAGCCAATCAGAACAGTGGTTTTTAATCGCGCTTAAATTCGATTTTAAGCGTGATTAAATTCCAGCCAATCAGAACAGTGGTTTTTAATCGCGCTTAAATTCAAATAAATAGGCTTAGAATTACAAAATTTGCATTCACCCGGCGACTAGATTTCCTCATGTTTTTGGTAATTTTCGTCTTACTCTCCCCCCTTGCACAATCTAATTTTAGATTGCCTAGAAACGGAGCTCAAAAGCGGTAGGTTTTGGCGGTAATGGCCTTCCATATGTGTGCACGTGTGAGCGTGCGTGTGTGCACATGTGTATATGCTCCTGCCTGCAGACTCGTTCAAAGATTACTTAAAGATTTAAATAATTCAAGTATTAACCAGCAACGTGGTTTCACATGTCACAAGTTTCCAGTCAATGATCCCTGCCTGATGCGTGACTGTGCTGTACGCGCGATATTAAAGTTGTTGCGCGGACTAATATAGCTTTGCTTGCAGCGTGGGTGGGACAGTTCGCGCAGACTGACGAGGGCATCGAGATGCAGTGGCAGGTGAATCACCTAAGCCACTTCTTGCTCACCAATCTGCTGCTGGAGCGCATGAAGGCTTCCTCTCCCAGCCGCATCGTCAACGTGTCGTCACGTGCGCATGCGTGTGAGTGAGTCTACGTGTTTCATATACCGCGCGTTGTGCATATAGCGACAATGACTCTAACTTATAGTATCGCAGCAGTGGGAGGGAGTTTTTGCAACGGAAAGAAAAGCTGCTGAGTATTGTTGCCGGAGTAGTGCATGTTGCTGTATGGTGAAATTTGGAACGTCATAAGCACGCCCTTTCAATGAACCCGTGACGCTGTGGGCGTCGTTTTGGATCAGACGGGGCAAGTCGTGATCATGGAATTTATAGCTTTTATGGTCTGATGAGACGTGATGGTGGGGTAATTTAACGGTCCAACTGCTGCAGCCTATTGCTCACGACCGATGGCATGTTTCAGTAATACCTATACCTTACTAATCGCGTTTTTATCGTAAAGCCTCCTTGTGTTTGGAAATTTGAAACTATAATTCCCCTACGCTGATGCAACTCCGATCCGGTGGGGTTAAATCAGTTTCATTAAGTTAATTTATTAAATTATTAAGTTAAATTAGTTTCATTAATTTTTTATCTCAATTAGTCACGCCTAACAGACCATACACTGAGCCTCCACTTACAGAGGTGGTATGGGTTGAGTGTAGAGACGAACCACGTGGGAAGGTGGGGAGATAAATTGGGTTGGATAACGGCCAGATGGGAAGGTGAGAGAGGATGAGGTTGATGGAGAAGGGTGGGGTGGGGAAGGAGGGGAAGGTCGGGGAAGGGGTGAAGTTGGTGGATAACGATTAGCTAGGGGAAGAATGGTGAGCTTAGTGGATGATAGATAGGGGGGGGGGAGTTGTTTGGGAGGTTGGTGGGTGGTCTTGTATCGGTAGCCAGGTCATGGAAGGAGAGGTGGGTAGACGGCGTGGGTGGAGGGTGGTGATGTATTTGGTGTGGGTTTTAACCAACCAAAGGAAAGGAAGTGAAAGAGAAAGAGAAAAGAAAAGAAGAAAAAAAGAGAGAAAAAAAAAGAAAAGAGAAAGAAAAAAAAGGAAGAAGAGAAGAGAAGAGGAAGGGGGAGAGATAGGTCCGAATGTTTGGGTGGACGAAGGCGAGGCTAAAATGACTAAGTATCACATAGATCACGGGTGTTTTCAGTGTACTAGTAGCTTCTAAACAGACGAGCCATAGTTAGAAGTAGTAAGTTAATGAATGTGTGATTAGTGAACAGGGTGTAACATTCGCTCATGAGATACGAACGCACACCTCTGCCTGCAGGGGCAAAGTCGTTAGATATGGAGGCGATCAGGACTGAGACGGCTGCGACTCACAACAAGTACATTGCCTACGCCAGAAGCAAACTTGCTAATGTGCTGTTCACCCGGGAACTTTCAAGGAGACTCAAAGGTGTTGTATACGCTCACTAGCTGAACTAGAGAAGAGAGCAGGCTGAGGGAAGGAATTGCTCTACTTACTTAAATAAAGAAAGATAGAAAGAAAATAAGAACGAACGAAATAATATATAATTAATTTTACTTATTTACGTATTTATTTATCAATTCATTCTTTTTTATTTATTAAACTGTTAATTTATTTATTCATAATAAATTAAATAATTAGTAATTATGAGAGTGAAATCTCGCTTGTGGTATAACAGCAGTAATATTTACTAATGGCAGCGAGATGGTTGTTGGTCACAGTCATTCTTACTGCTCGTTCTCGTAGGCACGGGAGTGACGGTGAACGCACTGCACCCTGGTGGCGTGCAAACTGAGCTGGGACGCCGGATGCCGAAGCTGATGCGATTCATCATGATCGTCCTTCTCTTCCCGATACTGCTGCTATTTGTAAAGACTTCCCGCCAGGGGGCTCAGACGTCCATATACCTGGCCGTGTCTGAGGAGGTGGACGGAGTGACCGGTCACTACTTCAGGTAGTGACAAATTATTGAAAGTGATTCGATGAGCTTTGCACTTGCACGAGAAACGATCATAGTTTCGCCTTGCGATAAATTCAGTCGTGTTTCAACGATTAGCGATCGTGATTGATCTATGTCCGTCACTCACTCATTCATTCACACTCACCTAATCACTCACTCATTCATTCACACTCACCCAATCACTCACTCACTCACTCACTCACTCACTCACTCACTCACTCACTCACTCACTCACTCACTCATTCACACTCGCTCGCTCACTTACTCACTCACTCATTCACTCACTCACTCACTCTCATTCACTCACTCACTCGCTCACTCACGCATGCGCGCGCTCACTCACTCACTCACTCATTCACTCACTCACTCATTCACTCACTCACTCACTCACTCACTCACTCACTCACTCACGCCCGTAGGGAAGGGGGTGCGACGGGTGCCCCCCCCCCACCACACACAGGCTGCGGAGGTCCACTTTTTTGCAGAAAAAATAAATTTTGAAGTTCAAACATTTAGAGAAA